TGAAACCAATTGGAGCAACCAGGGTGAAAACGCCCAACACTCCCCACTCCGGGGCATCAATGCCAACCGTCACGATGCTCTGCACCTGTAGGCCTCAACCGACCAATACCCCAACACTATGACTGGGCAAACGCTCTGATGTCCAACTACCGTGCCGGTCTAGCGGCGTGTGCTGCGAAGAATGCCATCTTTTCCTTACGAAAAAGATACCCAGCCTCGCCTATGCCACATGACTCCGCGTACTCTTCTAGAGGACGGAAAAAAAAACAAGACAGTTCCGCGAACGATGGCGGCGCCTCCATTCCTCCACCTCCCTCACTCTCAGAATCTTCGGTGTTGTCTAGCTCTACCTCGTTGTAAGAGAAGGTGCCCTCTTTGACGTACATGTTGCCAACCTTGCACAAAAAAATCCCCCTTGCGTCTTCGGACAGAGATTGCGGTGAAAAACAGGGAGGCTCCGGCGTTTTGAACTGCCACTATTGGAGGGGTGAGATGCCCAAAATGCCACTATTGAGGGCCCCGTCCCCAAAAGTGGTGCGATGCCACTATATCAATATCGGGTTGAGATTGTGACAAGAGATTTTGATGCAACTATTGAGGGCATTTCACTTTTCAGGGTGCCACTATATCGGGAACACTACTGTTGTAGTCACTTGCTATACATTGGCCGTCGCATCACTGGTACGCCAGCATGCGCCCAACTACCGTATAGAGCGGTTGTCGTGGGCCCTGTATAGTGCCGGTCGAATAGTGCCTGGTGCCGGTTTAGTGCCGGTGTTTTCGGCTCGCACACGCTGAAATACTAAGTCGTTCTGTGCCTTGAGCAATGCCGGTGTCCAGTACACAGCAGTAGTACCGGCAAAATCTCTGGACACATGCCGGCACTATACCGGGCCCAGTGCTGTAGTACAACACAACACAAGATACACCGGTCATACCATCTTGGGGTTTTGAAAAAAAGTCACCGAGTATTTGTGTTCTTGTGGGGGGGGTGTTATCTTGTGTAGAACAGGTGATAAAAGTATAAAAGTGAAGGTCAGGGTGAATGATACCACCTACGCACACTTGCGGGGACAGGGATCGCTGCGGCTACTAGGGTTTGGGTTGAAACACACCCCGCCGTGCCTACTGCCGCACGTGCAGGGGGGGGGGGG